TTATAGCTTAGCCTCCTAGATAAAGAACCCAGTAGCCTCTTTGAGAAGAGAGGCACTGAAAAGCTGTCCACATGGCTGAGTGTCCAACCAATCTGTTCACATAGCTCAGTGTCAGAGCGTTCGTCTCTCGTTCGACGGACGCGAGTTCGATCCCGTCTGCCGCCGATGCAAATGGTCAAAGGGCCAAAGAAGACAAGAGAGGGGAGGGAAGAGAGGAAGAGGATGAAAGGAAAATGTTATCTACCTATCTTTGACTGCTGTAATGGTATAGGATTACTATTTCAAATAAGACTATTAGAAATTTATCTACCGAAATACCTGTATTAGTAGCGCCCCCGTACAGTCGCGTAGTCTGACTTCTTTTTATAAAATCATTTTTTTCTCAGCTCCTAGATTTTTCCCAACTACACTTTTAATACCAAAAATACTAGATTTCAAGGGCTATCATTTGACACTCAAGCGCACACTGTAGCATAAAGCAGTGCGGAGAACGGAGTGTGCAAAGCTAGACTACGCGGCAATACCATGTCATTATGGAGGGGGGCGGGTGCTACTATTAGAGGTATTACAGTAACAAAATAGAAATCAAGATCACAACAGAAAGAACATTAGAAACAATCGAAAATGAGCAACAATGATCCGGACGACTACGCGTCGCTTCAGTTGACGCGTACAAAAGACGAAACGAGAGTTAGTGCAAAACAGAAAACACTTTGTGATGATCTCTTGCCAACAGAAGAAAAAAAAGCAAGAATTTTTCAAGAATAAAACAAAATCTTGCCCAAATTCTCCCACTTGCATATATACGTTCACTTTTTTCTTTTACGCAAAAATCTTCCCCTGAGAGACGAAAATGCGTATTTGTGTAGAGCCAAAAAAAAGCTTTTTATGTGCATGTGAAATGTTTCCAATGGATGAAAAGCCACCAGAAAACATTCAATCTTTTTGAAGATCAAAGGGGAAATTATGGGGGAAAACATAGGAGTTTTAAAAAAAAAAATTGTTTTTAGTAGTATTTTTCAATCAAAAATCAATACAAAATCCCTTCCTTTTTCCGTAAAAACGGTGCCAATTTTTTGACTGGTGAATTTCTTTCCGTTTCATTTCATTTTTGAGATGCAATTTGAATGGAGTTGAATTTGCAATAAATTTGCATATAAACAGAAGTAATTGTACAAAAATGATTAAAAATTATGTTTTAGATGGTGTTGCAAAGCGATTTGAAGGGATTACTTAAAAAAAATAGCACAATGAGTTATTCTTGTTGAGAGAATTTTGCTATTTTAGCTATTTTTGGCTATTTTTGTCTATTACATAGATTATGAATATATTTTAATACTAGAAAATACAAAAATATAGTGACAGCTCCCAAGAGCTGTGTCACTTCGATCTTTCCCATTGAGAGATTCAAGTGACAGGGGACAATTTCAACTTCAACTACTGAGATAATAGAGTTCGCTTAAAATCTATTTGTTATTAGTTTGGACAAGTTTCAGGTTTACTTTCAAAGTATAGACACAATGCTAAACCAGACCTAAATTTCCCACCAATTAGTACAATGGTCAAGTGGACAGCGAAGTTGTATAGGTGTGTGGGAATGGACAACGGCTGGAGAGAGACACAAATTTGGGGACTTCAATGGAAAAGACAGGGGAATAGATACGAATGGAGAAGAGTCTTTGACTTTTCTTTGAAGAACAGAGTAAAAGGAGAGGCCATTTCTACGATGACCATAGATGAAAGGAATGGCTTTTTAGGAGAAAGGAGATTCGAGATTTAGGTGAATTGAGGATACATGCTGGATACGTTCACTTACCGTAAATACTGTAATAGTACCTCACCCCCTCGTACAGTCGCGTAGTCGCAAAAGTTTTTTAGTATTTCATTTTTTTCAAAGCACCCGTACTTTCAAAAAATGCGTCTTTAGTATGAAAAAATAGCCCTGAATTTCAGCTATTTTTGATAACTAAGCGCGCATTGTAGCATAAACCAGTGTCGAGAAAAACGCGTTCAAAGCTAGACTACGCAACATTCCGCACCATCATTATGGGGGTGAGGTACTATTACAGTATTTACGGTAGGTATTAGAGCTTGTTAAAAGTGAGACTGGAGCTCTCATAATCAGCTTGAAAGGAACGGCTTTTTAGAAGAAAAGGAATTCGAAAAGGAAATTTAGGTTCTCAACGTTCAATGGCGTATTATGGCGTGTTCAATGGCGTATTATGGCTTTGGATTTAGAAGTTACTGACTCTAGTGTTCCAAAGTTTACAGAAATACTGGCTTTTACTTTGAAGTAGCATTGATCTCTTCTTTAGTGAAATCAAGGCTACAACAATTGCATTTACTTTTACATAACTTGACCAGAATTAGAAAATGACTAGTTCTAGCGATAAATCTTTTTCTCATCACCAGATTGAATCGTATAGTTGGCTGAAATTGGCCTGGGATTTGGATGAAAGAAGAAAAAAAACGAATGACACAGAAAAAAAGAGATAAGTTTACATGAAAACCAAAAAGTAATTGCCTTTGATACAATTTTGAAAACAAAAAGACAGTGTGCCAGAAAGAAGACATTTGCAAGAGCACAAAGTAATCGCATAAGAATCGGGTTTGTTGTTACTGTGATCAGTAAATGATTGTTAGATAAGTAAAAGTAAAAGTAAAACCAAAAGTAATAAATAAAGATTTGTATAAAAGATCATAAAAACCAAAATTTCAAGCATGAGCATAAAGATGTCTATGAGTCATGAGAAATGTAGCTGGTGTTCTCATTTCCTTTCCCTGCCGGTCTCTGTCCTCGTCTATTGGAAAGAGCACCCTCATTTGGCCTTTCCCCCTTTTTGGCTCTTGGTGCCAATCCTTGGGGTTACCCTAGGGGAATCGATAGGCCCTAGTGTGGTCTTAGCCCCTTTTCCCCAGCCGGGAACACTCCATAAATGGATATTGAAGGGAACAAGGGGCCTAGTAACACCCTTCCGCTGGAGAGACATAATAAGAGGCTTCTCCCTTCTAAACCTCTAAATCCTATATCGAATCTTTCCTCAAGTTGAACACTCCTTTCGTCGAGTCTTTGGAGAAAAGCACTTTAAATAAATGAAGAATGGAGAAAGCTTGAGTGATTGAAATAATAAAATAGAAAATAGAAAACGCAAAATAGAAAATGGTTACGGTTCAAGATGTTTTCTATTTTCCACCATTTTCAAAAAGACTACTATAGGCCAAAAACCCAAAAACCCAAAAACCCAAAAAAACCGTCTGCTCACATGCTCACTCGTTTTACTAAAACGTTCGCTGTCAACTCCCAGAAAGTTTCTAACTGTAGAAAAACTTGCAAACTTCAAGTAGCGCTCATAAAATCGTTTCATACGATCAATTTTAATACAGAAAGGGCAGGATTAAACCCCTACTTGTTTTGTTTTTCTTCTATCTATAAAATTTTTGTGAATTCTTGCCTAAAACTTTGCACAATTGACCCAGAGGGCTCAGTGATGCCATTGAACTTTTATTAGGCTGTTCAAAAAGTCTTTTCGCTTCATCCAACTTTTTCAACCAATTTTTTTATGGAAAACATTAGCAATATTTTAAAATCAACAAATTTAGGTCGAAACTTGCACGGGCCTCCAGGATCGTCGGGATTTATGGTGGTGGGGACGGGCCGGACCTAGCTGACGATAATGGAGCCGAAGTAGTGGAAAGGCTTGTTGAGCGGGTTAGTTCTTGGTTTTAATTTGCGGATTGTAGAGGAGAGCAGTTTGAAAAATGAAATTGTTTTATGGAAAACATTAGCAACATTTTAAAGTCAACAAATTTAGGTCGAAACTTGCACGGGCATCTAGGATCGTCGGGATGCACTCCGTGGTTTACAAAATTTGGCCAAAGTATTTTTGCAGTTACTATTTAAAACAAATCTTTACTTTAGAAACATCGTCTTGCAGTTGGTACATTGGGACTCAACGCTTTGATGGACATACTAACTAAAGAGAGAAATGCAATCGATCTTTTATCGCTTACATTTGAGGTTTTTTTGAACAGACTCTATCTCAACTTATTGTTTAGATTTTTTATTTGTTCTGAACGGTGATGATGATGTTCCCGAAGAAAGCGAACTGGGAGAAAGACTTGCTGAGGTAGTTATATCTGTGTTTTTTTCGATATTTTTATGTTTAGGTAATGCTCAAGCGACCTCAATTTATTGCACCGGTTCTTGCCGTTTTGGAGCAATATGAGTTCGCTGTGAGACGGTTGGTTAATAATTGTGTACTAGGGAAATTATAAGCATACTTATAATGATTCCTCTACTAAATTATTTACAATTCTGTTTTTAGTATTTCGGTTCAATTGCTCAGGTCTTTGTTGCGTCATCGAGCAACTGAGCGCAAAATGCGGTTATTCAACAGCCGATGGGAGCTACGCGTCTTGTGGATCTTGTTCACGATAGTGTTCACATGTTCACGATTCTTGTTCCGAATCGAGAGGTCCATTCTATAAAGCAACTCAATTCAACTTCGGCTTTAGGTTGTAACAACTACTTTGCGAGCTTTCACGAGCACATTCCCAATTGCAACAAATGCCTATGACAACGCTTTCTCCATACACATTGACATTGTTGGCTCTGAGTCAATTGACAGTACGTAGTTTTTAATTTGGGAAACACTTTGTTCTTTTTTGTTCTTTTAATTATCGTCATTGAAGATTGTCTTTTTGTGATTCTGAACTTGCTTTGCAAAAATGCAAACAATCAGCAGCTCTTTTGGGAAAATCAGTAAACCTTTTTTACAAAGTTTCAATGTCAGGTTAATCATGCGACTCCGTGGACTTCTCGGATCTTTGGCTTTTCCAGAAGACGTCGATGAAAGCGCCGAGGGGGCTAAACAGCGAACCGCAAATTGATTTGCCTTTTGCAGGTTTGACATTATTTCAACAGTTCTATTCCTACTTTTTAGGTCATCCGAGCTCTTGTTTCACCAGATAACGTTCAAGCAAATACACACGCTTCTCAAATGATCATTCATCAAACTCGTAATTGACTTTGATAAAATTAATCAAAAAATACGTTTAGAAATTTTGAGCGAACTTTTCCGAGTATTGTTGTCAGAAATTGGAGTATTAGTGGAGGTGAAAAATGGTTTTGAATGTTTTACAAGATATTTTAGGTTTTAACTGAAACGGTGATCGCAGTGGCAAAAGTGATTTGAGGAAATTATACCAATCAAGAGTATTTTGCCAGCAACACTTTGCTTACAGCGGAAGGAAGTCAACGGTTTGAAACTCTATTTTTCAAAAACTCCAGGCGTGTTTAGACCAGCGCTCCTTGTTTTGCTTCTTTCTTTGACGTCAACCATTCAAGCTGCGTTACGCCGTCTTCTACGCTTTCCTTTCTTACCTACATGATAACGAATTCGGAAAAACAAAAGTACTACCTCATCCTTTTATTGCTTTAAAAAACGTTTTCAGTTTGTAGAGACTCTTCTTCCGGCAGCTCATGCACTCACTTTCAACTGGCAGTCTAGTTATTCAGGTATTTGCGCCCAACTATCTGGTAAGACGCAAATTTAGGCGCTGACCTCTTCGGAGTCTGTTCAATCTTGGTTTGGAGCCGTGTGACTTTTGCATTGCCTTCTTGATGTAAGTTCACTTATAATTATAACTGGCCAATATTTGTTTAAGGTAGAACACCTTGGGGAACAATTGTTGCGAGTTCAACTTTCATTGCCGGTTGATGAGGCCGCACAGCCACTGCTCTTCCACATTGTTCGCATGCTGGTTAGTACTACAGTCATGCGCAAAAGTCTGTTAACATCGAGTTTGCAAAAGTTTCGGCTGCAATTTTTCTCGCAACATGTTCAAATTTTCTAACGGTTAAGGGATTTAGAAAGCAAATTTTGTCTAGTTTAGTACGAAGAACCGAAGAATAGTACGAATAAGCGTAGATCGTGATTCACTTTTATTAATTGAAAACTCTTGTCCATCTCCAATTTCTGGAGCCTCAATGTTTTGAGAAGAGACGGTTGTCTCAGAATGGGTGCCAGAGATAGCAACTATCGAGCACAAAATTGAAACTTCAAGCCACCGACAACTAGTTGAAAAATCACTTTTGATTTCATGTTAATTTACCCCAAGAAACATTTGCATTTTAAGTGAAAAATATTAAATCTTAAAATAAAAATAAAAAATCTTAGAACATTCAAAAATTTGCTTACAAACATTTGCATTTATAAAATATTTACTTATAAAAATTCAAATTTGCATTTAAACCTCATATAAATAGAAACGAGCATGGATAGATTTATCATACACATTCTCGACTTCCATTCCGCCAGTCATGGATCGTGCTCCACCTCACAATTCAACTTCCGACCCGCCACCTCCCGATAGTGTAAGTGATTTTTGTTATAGGTTTTTTTGTTGTTAAAGTTTTTGTTGCTAAAGTTAAAATTTCGTGATCTTTAAGTTTTCTCTGTTGCTAAGGTCAAAAATCAATTTAAATGACTTTTGTTACTTTATAAAAGTCTTTGTTTTCATAACTATTATATAATTGAGGTCTGTCTGTCCGTCACACTATGAATCTCGGCTCCCCGTGAACCGATTTCGACAAACTTTTTTGATCGATAGTTAATTAAAAATGAATAGGTACATACTTTTTGGTCAAAACAAGATTTTCATCAAAAACCTGTAAAAAAAATCAGAAAAACCACTTAGCCACGCCCCTTTTGCCGTCGGCGGCCCTTGGGAGGCGAGGGGGGGGAGGGCGTGGTCGAGGTGCAGGTGGAGGTGGAGGTGGTTAACGCCCCATCTACGAAACGACTGCCCCAAGGCGGCCGCGTAGCGGACGCCCGGCGCAGCTGGTGATATTTATTATGATGGAAGGTTCTTGCAATTTGGAGTATAAACATTTTACTTTTTAGAGGGAATGCATACAATTTCCGCTCGGGAAATAACCAACTTGTGGTCCAAATTTCACTCGCGGATGGTGTTTACCACTCGATTGATCCGGTCCGTCTTTTACTTGCATACTTTAACCATGAAAATTTGGACGTACCCAATAAGGCCGGATAAAGATGGAAATGGAAAAAAGGATATCACGATGAGAAATGACGGAGGAAAGAATATTGTCGTCAAGGTTTTCTTTAATATCTTGTAAAGAGTAATTAACAAATTAAGCCAGAAGCATAGCATTTAAACATTATGAGGCTTCGAAATAACTTTTTATTAGGTTGGTGCAGATGAAACTTCCGTTGGAACCATAAACAAAATTTATTATAAAAATCCTAATACAGAACCTCAATCCAAAAGATATTCGCCATCATTATCAATGACTCTTTGCCATCTTCCACGCAGCGAATGGATGCCCTTTTCGAAGAACTCGGGCAACTGCGACTCGAAGAAGTTGGACACCCAGATCTCAACTTCTTCGCGGTTTTTGATTTTTTTTTCTGCTAAAGAGTGCTGCATCGACCGAAACAAGTGGTAGTCGGATGGGGCCAAGTCCGGGCTATATGGCGGATGAGGCAGAACTTCCCAGCCTAATTCCTCGATTTTCTGCTGAGTGATCTTTGCGGTGTGGGGTCGAGCGTTATCGTGGAGGAATTTTGTAGTCGCCGTGTTATTACCTTGACGACGCAATGCCTGGTCCACGCGGCTCAATTGGGCTTTGTAGAGATCCGCCGTGACTCTTTGGCCCGAATCCAGCACCTCAAAATACGCGAGACCTTTACTATTCCACCAAATACAAAGCATCACCTTTTTTCCGTGGATATTCGGTTTGGGAGTCGGTTTTGGCGGTTCACCGGCGCCCAACCACTGCCGTTTTCTTGTTGTGTTGTCGTAACATATCCACTTTTCATCTGCCGTAACAATGGAGTCGAGAAAACCGGCGGTCTTTGCGCGGCGGACGAGAATTCCAGCCATTGTAGCTCGAGCCGCTTTGTTTGCGTCGTTGAGCTGATGTGGCACCCATTTTCCACACCGATTCGTCTTACCAATTGCGTGCAAATGGCGGAGAATGGTTGTATGGTCGCAGTCAAACAGCTCTGCAAGCTCCCGAGTTGTTTGGCATGGATCCGATTCGATAGCGTTCTTCAACTCATCGCTTTTCGCGTTTTTCGTCTTCCAAACTCTCATCACCGTCTCGGAAGCGCTGAAACCAAGTCCGGCATTGACGTTCGGACAACACGACATCGCCGAATGCTTTGCACAGAGCACGATGAGATTCCGCAGGCGTTCTGCCTTGTTTAAAATCATACAACAAGCAAACCCGCACTCGAAATTTTTCGTCAACCATTTTCTAGAAGCTAAAAATTACTTCAAATTAAGTAAAACGCATAAGTCTTAGATATCAAAAGACGCGCAAAGAGACGCTCTTTCAGATAGACAAATATCTTCAATAAAAACTTTTATAAGGTTCAAAATATAAACAAACAAGTGTGACGGAAGTTTCATCCGCACCAACCTAATAATTTTCTCTTTAAGATTGATCTGGATGCAACACAAACAGAGAGTGGTTGGATCGTACACACGAGCTCAGAGCCAATCAAGCCCAAAGAGGAGAGGCAAATCAGCGTGGAGTGTTCGAATTGTAAGATTTTGAATTGGCTTTTAGTTAAATCTTTTTTATTTAAATCTTATTCTTATTATTACCTTTTATTTAAAAAGAATGATACTAAAAATCGATTCTTTAGTGAACGGGGAGAAAGGACGGCAAAAAGCCACGTTTAAAATGACAGCTCAAGATGTTTCCTCATCAATTGTTTCGGTAGGTTTGGATTTCTATGAATATAGTATTTTTCTTCAATTAATCCATCAAATGCGTTTGCTTAGATTGTTAGGTCATCAAAAACTTTATCTTCTAAATCAAAAAGTATTTTTCTCTCAGGAACCTCACATGCTAACCCTCATCGTTAATAACGCAGACCGACCACTCGAGCGCAAGCGCAAGCAGAGCACGTCTCATGCAGGTATGCTTTTATTCTGTTCATTGATTTAAACAATTTTTAATAGATTCCAGTTTTGAAAGTAACTCCTTACTTCGTGCTAAACCTAATTCCTAATTTCTGGTTTTTTTAGCTCCTGCTGGTCCTTCCAACTCTTCTCGTTTTATGCCAGAAAGTAGCTTTCAACTGCCGGGTACGATTTTATTTTTCTTAATTATGTGAATTAGTAGAACATGTTTGTTTTCAGAGTCGTCAATGAAGACTAGCCAGTCACTTTTCTCAACGGGGCTTGGTGGGATTTTATTCTAACCCCTATTCTTTTTAATAGTCTTCAATCTAAGGGTGAACCTCTTCTATTCATTGGTCTTAGCTAAGAACATGCTTCTTTCCAGCTCCAGCCGCTGCCAACACCACCTCCAGCGAGTACTTCCTTGACGGCTCATCCAGTTTCCCAGTCCCCAGTCCCGTGCTCTCCACCGATGGCTTGGGTGAGATATTGTGCTCTCTAATTCAATAACCTTTTTAATAGGATTCGATTTAAAAGAGGATCTGGTTTTATGTTAAACCTAACTTGTTTCTTTCCAGATTTGATCGAAGAGCTCAATACATTCGCACCAGCACCAGCCAGCACCAGCGGCCAGAATCGTAGGCTTTTATTTTTGCTCGCGAATTCATTAACCCCACCGTTGACAACGACGACGACTCTATTGAGGATAAACTTTTATTCTGCTAACTAATTTAATCAATTTTTCAATAGTATACAAATTAAAGATGATTTTTTGCTATTATGTTCAACCTACTTCCTAGAAGATCTTTTTTTTCAGCTTTCCAGCAGTTCTTGCTCACGGACCTCACTCAGCCCCTCCCGGAACTCGGAAAGAATTTGGAGCTTGGTGGGATTTTATTCTACCCCCTAATTCAATTCTTTTTAATAGTCTTCAATCTAAAAGTGGACCTCTTCGATTCATGGAACATCTTGCTTTTCAGATCCGCTGATCGACGAGGGCGAGCCCAAGCCCAAGCCCAAGAAGTCCAAGGAACAATAAAGACCTAATCTACTCAACTCTGTGCCCGTCTAAAAATAGCTTTTCTGTAAAATTTAAAAGGTGGTGGAGGAATAAATAAATCAAAATTTTAAAATAAGCCGGGGGTCTAAAATGATGATGATGTTGTATTTCGTGTGAACAAATATGATTATAAAACACTGGCTGATGCAGAGAGAACGAGGAAAAAAATGCACAAGAGATTCGTTTGACACAAGAGATTGAACTATCTATTACCAAATTGTTTTAGTATCTTCATGTTTCGACTAGTGCCCGGCCCGGCAGCTGACTTTATAGGCTGTATAATGACGTATCCTAATGCACAATATTTATTATTGTCCCGTTCGTCTCCAAACAGTTGTGGTGATGTGATTGATCGAACAAGGATATTGTAATTTGAAACAGTGACATTTTCAAGAACAACAAAATCTTGAAGGATTTATTCAGTGAGAAGAATTTCAAATTGTGACATTAGTATTATGTACTTTCCAAGAAATAGCAACCACAATGGACAAAATTTAAGCTTTAACAAAACAGAATTTTAATTCAAAATACGTCATTATACATCCCATATAAGTCAGCTTCCGGACCCGGCACTAGTCGAAGCATGGAGATACTAAAACAATTTGGTAATAGATAGTTTCATTGAATGCCTTTCATACGTCGAAAAAATCGTGCTAAAACATACTCAATATGACCTTTTCCATCACTGCGAATAGGAAACCCAATGATGTTTCCATTTGCTCTTTCCAAAGCGGGGATAGAATAGATGGAACCTTTGAAGAGGAGCCGTTTAACAGATTGCAATCCAGGTAAGTTGTACAAGAACTAAAAATTGAATAATTTTATGGGGAAAAATACCAATTGCTTTGAATTGCTTTTCAATGATTATCTGGGCTATCTAGACTAGAATAGTTAAGTCGATTTTCCGGATGTTTTAAAAACTTCATCCAAATTATTCCAGCAAAATAAGAAAGTTAAAAGAGCTCACATTTTGACGTTCTGCTTCCCCGCAAACTGCTCGAAGATGAATTGCATCAATTTGACGCTCTGAAGTGTACCAGTCTTGGATCATCGTTAGAATCCCATTAAGAGTACAGCCGGAACTTGTTCGAAAATGACCGGATAAAACCAGAGCAGTTGAATCTAACAGGATCTAAACAATAAACATTATCCGGAGTAAGCGTCGTAACAAAAAATTGTTCATTGAAGTTAAATCAAAACAAACTGTGTCATTTAATGGATCCACCATGGCATTCCCGTAACCCCACAACCGAACAAGTTGCAACTCAATTGCATAGTTATTGGTGAAAAAGTCCCTTGTAACAGGAAAAACTTTGTTGTCCCCATGCGCCTTAATCAGCCTAATTTTGAGTTCTTCAATACAAAATTACCGAAACATATAGGTTGCGTGTTGGCCTTATACTGCGAAAAATATCCTGGAATCTTTCTGGTGAAAGAGTCGTCCCACTGACAAAACAAGTCAATTCTTCGCATTCGAACTTGCAATTTGCAAACATGTCCCAATTGACATCCTGCTAAAAGACAGATTTTAAGTATACCATTTAATATTAAAAGCTAACCAAACGGAGGGTGTTGAAGGTGACACGCTCATTCAAATACGCCAAATGTTGAATTAATTTAGCTGGATCTATCTTTTCCGAATATTCGTTCCTTCCTCCATGTATAAATCGAAGCTGAAACCTGTTTTTGTAACTAACACAACAATATTTTACCATGTTCTCATGAACACAAAGCTCATCGATATAAACACGAGGAAGTCTTTCTCTGCGCAGCTCGACCCTTCTATAGCAATTCTTGGACAGTTGTCGAACAGTGCTAAAGCAAAGATTAATGCTAGAAGATGAAGGCTGCTTACTTTTCGATGACCCGTGCAGGAAGTCTCTCCATCACCGCATAGAAGACGACATCGGGAAGTCCTTCAAGGAAGTTGATAGAAGAGGTTGGCATGTGCTAAAATCAAAATTGTACGAAACATCCACTTGAAAGCAATCACTAACTACAACCTTTAAAACCAATTATAGTAAGACGCACATCGATTACACCCTAATGTAATTGTTTTCTTTAAATCAAAAATTCGAACACTAAAAATTTTAAGTTAGGCCCAGAAATGAACGGAAAAAATAAAATAATCCAAAAACTATCATCCAAAATCATCCAAAATAAAACAAGAATTTCCCAAAAGACTTTTTATTAGTTGTCTCGGATTTTATGATCTGGAATGCAGATTTTTTTCTGGTTCTGCACTTGCACTTCTAGTATAGTCTAGAAAAAATTTATTCTAAAAAAATCTCAAGAACGCAATTTTTTTTAAAAGAAAGAGCTACAATTCCAGGAAAGTGGAAATGAAGAGTAAGTGATATTTGCCAATCTCGGGTAGGCAACCTAGGTGCACAGATAAATACAGACTGCCTTGACAATTACTCGATAAATTACTATGCCAAGGGCATGACAAATGATAAAATCATAAATGTCAATCGCAGGAGGAAATCATTTAGTTACACACAATTTTCTGTTCCTATTTTTATTTTTTGATTATTAGCGTATTATTATTTTTCTTATTACATTTGTATTTCCAACACTTTCAAAACAAAATTTATAATTTGCAGATGGGACGAACATCAGAAGCCAAAAAGTCTAGAAGTCGCAACTTGAAACATGGACGCCAAACGAATCAAAACAACATGCACGGATTACGAAGTGGGGAATTTCCTGCAAATCCTATGCAATCAAAAGAAGAAAGCTCATGAGAAAGATCCGCAGACAATCAACAAAAAGAAAAAGAATTCGACAGGAAAGCACATTTGAAAGGAGCACTGGAGGCAAGGATTCTGAAAGATAATGAAAAGAAAAGAGCCGAGCAAAATCGTCAAAAAGCCGTCTATTTGCAAAAGCAAAGCAAAAAGATGTTGATTCTGTTGCTTCAACCTCACATATTCAAACCAAATCACCGACTCCTCCAACTCCAGAAGCTCTGCTCGGTATGAAAAAAAGTGCCAATCTATCAAATAAAGGACTATTATCTGTAAACCATTTTCTTCAGACAAACCAAGGGGTAACCATTGGCTCACAACGAACTATCGAGAAAGCCAAGAAGACTCTGGACCAGTTTGTCAAATATGAAATAGCTCTCAATGAAGGAGTAAGATTGGAAACTGTGTTGAAAGCTGCTGAAGAGCGGCGAAGAAGATTGGATCTGTTGGATGAGCGAGGAAAATGGCTGATTTTTTCCGTCTATAAAGGACACGGCCGAGTGATTTCAACTATTTCATTCCTAATCTGCAAAAAACCGTGCTCGTCTCGCAATTGTCTTCCATTACAAGCTTGGGAAGGTTCAGATTCCTACGACTCGCTGAAGGAAAAGGGAATTTGGAAAGACTTTGAGACTTTGGTGCAAGCTGGATATATGGTTTTTCTCGGTGTAGATCTATCTTTCTTGAACACCAATTTTGTTCTTTCCTGTGCGATAACGTTTGGATGTTTATGGTGCAATAAGAGGTTTGACAAAAAAACACCCACCTGGAGAGATCAAGCTGGAAGGTCAACCACTAGAAGAAGTCACCTCCTACACCTACCTCGGAAGAAGCATCAACATGGAGGGAGACCTAAGACCAGAAGTCGCCAAAAGAAGACGAGCGGCCTGGACAGCTCTAGGAAGCATCAAAGAAGTCACAAAGATACTCAAGAATCACCAGAAGACTCGACAGCACCGTCCTCCCGGCACTGTGCACACCACCAGCACAAGCGAGTCGAAGACTTCGAACCAGAAACAACCAAGATAGGAAACACTGGATGACAATAGCAAGGGATAGAGAAATGTGGAAGCAGGTTGTGATCTGCGCCAATAGGAACACCTAAGTGCGAAGACAACAAAAAAAGCCATTTTTATCAAAAACCGTTAGTACTTTTCAATAACAAATTTTTATTTTACACAACTCATAATTAACGTTTTTCTTCAAGTGTTGTGGAGGTCTTTCGGTCGGTTCGGTTCTTTTTGCTATTTTTGCGCCTTCTACTTTAGGTATTTCATAATCAGGTCTCAAATCAAACCCAATTTTCAATCCTTTTCATCTCAAGGTGTTTTCTAAAAATAAAAAAACCCGGGCCAAACCGAAAAACCTGTCTAATATGAATTAATGAGTTATGGCAATAAATAAAAACAATTCCAATTCCCTTATATGCGCTTTCCCATCATCATTAACTTTTTATTGTTTGATTGAATACTCTAATCTCAATCAAAAGTCTTTATATGCCTGTATTACTACCTTTTTCTCTTATTCTGCCCATCTTTCTTCTATCATTTTTTCACGATCTCGTTTCTTTATGTTACCTAACTTTTTGCTCATCCCTTATGTATGTTACGTCCTATCTAGAATCAAGTTGATCACTCTAAATCAGACATCCGATCCAGACTGTTTCGTGGACCTCCGTCCTCAATTTACTCTAGATCGGGCGTAACATATACAATCTTTCTTAGAAGGGTAGTTTACAACGATTACGAACCGAGCGGAAACCATGGAAAGCTTTAAGAAAGAGCAACTGAATGTAAGACGTCTTACTATAATTGGTTTTAAATGTTGTAGTTAGTGATTGCTTTCAAGTGGATGTTTCGTACAATTTTTATTTTAGCACATGCCAACCTCTTCTATCAACTTCCTTGAAGGACTTCCCGATGTCGTCTTCTATGCGGTGATGGAGAGACTTCCTGCACGGGTCATCGAAAAGTAAGCAGCCTTCATCTTCTAGCATTAATCTTTGCTTTAGCACTGTTCGACAACTCTCAAAGAATTGCTATAGAAGGGTCGAGCTGCGCAGAGAAAGACTTCCTCGTGTTTATATCGATGAGCTTTGTGTTCATGAGAACATGGTAAAATATTGTTGTGTTAGTTACAAAACCAGGTTTCAGCTTCGATTTATACATGGAGGAAGGAACGAATATTCGGAAAAGATAGATCCAGCTAAATTAATTCAACATTTGGCGTATTTGAATGAGCGTGTCACCTTCCACACCCTCCATTTGGTTAGTTTTCCATAATATTAAATGGTACTTACAATCTGTCTTTTAGCAGGATGTCAATTGGGACATGTTTGCAAATTGCAAGTTCGAATGCGAAGAATTGTCTTGTTTTGTGATTGAGACGACTCTTTCACCAGAAAGATTCATGGATGTTTTTCGCAGTGTAAGACCAACACGCAACTTATATATTGCGGTAATTTTGTATTGAAGAACTCAAAATTAGGCTGATTAAGGCGCACGGGGACAACAAAATTTTTCCTGTTACAAGTGACTTTTTCACCAATAACTATGCGATTGAGTTGAAACTTGTTCGGTTGTGGGGTTACGGGAATGCCATGGTGGATCCATTAAATGACACAGTTTGTTTTGATTTAACTTCAATGAACAATTTTTTGTTACGACGCTTACTCCGGATAATGTTTATTGTTCAGATCCTGTTAGATTCAACTCCTCTGGTTTTATCCGGTCATTTTCGAACAAGTTCCGGCTGCACTCTTAATGGGATTCTAACGATGATCCGAGACTGGTACACTTCAGAGCGTCAAATTGATGCAATTGATCTTCGATCAGTTGGCGGGGAAGCAGAACGTCAAAATGTGAGCTCTTTTAACTTTTTTATTTTGCTGAAAATAATTTGGATGGAGTTTTTAAAAAATCCGGAAAATCGACTTAACTATTCTAGTCTATATAGCCCAGATAATCATTGAAAAGCAATTCAAAGCAGTTGGTATTTTTCGCCATAAAATTCTTCCATTTTTAGTTCTTTTACAACTTATCTGGATTGCAAGCTGTTAAACGGCTCCTCTTCAAAGGTTCCATCTATTCTATGATCGCTTTGGAGAGAGCAAATGGAAACATCATTGGGTTTTCTGTTCGCAGTGATGGAAAAGGTCATATTGAGTATGTTTTAGCACGGTTTTTTCGACGTATGTAAGGCATTCAATGAAACTATCTATTACCAAATTGTTTTAGTATTTCCATGCTTCGACTAGTGCCGGGTCCGGAAGCTGACTTATATGGGCTGCATAATGACGTATTTTGAATTAAAATCTGTTTTGTTAAAGCTTAAATTTTGTCCATTGTGGTTGCTATTTCTTGGAAAGTACTAATGTCACAACTTGAAATTCTTCTCACTGAATAGATCCTTCAAGATTTGGTTGTTCTTGAAAATGTCACTGTTTCGAATTACAGTATTCCTGTTCGATCAATCACATCACAACTGTTTGGAGACGAACGGGACAATAATAAATATTGTATATTGTCAAAAAAATATTGTGCATTATGATACGTCATTATACAGTCTATATAAGTCAGCTTCCGGGCCGGGCACTAGTCGAAACAGAGATACTAAAACAATTTGGTAATAGATAGTTCAATCTCTTGTGTCAAACAAATCTCTTGTGCATTTTTTTTCCTCGTTCTCTCTGCATCAGCCAGTGTTTTATAATCATATTTGTTTACACGAAATACAACATCATCATCCTGTTAGACCCCCGGCTTATTTTTTTAATTTTCATTCATTTATTCCTCCACCACCTTTTAAATTTTACAAAAAAAGCGACTTTTAGACGGGCACAGAGTTTAGTAGTTTGGTTCTTTATTGTTCCTTGGACTTCTTGGGCTTGGGCTCGCCCTCGTCGATCAGCAGATCTGAAAAGCAAGATGTTCTATGAATCGAAGAGGACCACTTTTAGATTGAAGAGAGAAAAAGAATTGAATTAGGGAGTAGATAACTCAAGGCAGTCAAAGAAAGGAGCAAGTTATTTTAGCAATTTTTAGCTTGCACTTGATCTTTGTCAACTCATAGATTTCATTTTTATATTTCCGATTTGGATCCCGACTCGAGCTTGCCACCAATAGCTAAATTGTCCAATCATGTTTTTACCTACGATAATGCGATGCATAATGAGTTCAAATTTGCCAACCAGTTTAAATACTCTTTGGAAGAACTGGTCTTTCACAAAGTGAAGTGAGCCCAAGAAGAGTAGAAAGCGACAGGTCTCGAAGATCTCGAAGATCAAGGTAAACTTTTAACAAAATACATAGACAAGCGGTCAGAAACAATTATAAAGTTTTGTAGATTTTAGATGACGATTGGTCTACGCGGACGATGAGTATATGTAATTTAGCATATTTTTTTGTGTAATTTATTTTTGAGCTTGTTGGTTTTTAGGAACAAACGTTGTCACTGCTCTCAAGTAGAAATCACAATAAAATTCTGATATTGATCCATGATAGTCAACTAATGGCAAACAAAACTCTTGTGCATTTTTTTCCTCGTTCTCTCTGCATCAGCCAGTGTTTTATAATCATATTTGTTTACACGAAATACAACAACATCATCCTGTTAGACCCCCGGCTTATTTTTTTATTTTCATTTATTTATTCCTCCACCACCTTTTAAATTTTACAAAAAAAGCGATTTTTAGATGGGCACAGAGTTGAGTAGATTAGTTCTTTATTGCTCCTTGGACTTCTTGGGCTTGGGCTCGCCCTCGTCGGTCAGCGGATCTGAAAAGCAAGATGTTCTATGAATCGAAGAGGACCACTTTTAGATTGAAGACTATTAAAAAGAATTGAATTAGCGGGTAGAATAAAATCCCACCAAGCTCCAAATTGTTTCCGAGTTCCGTGAGGCGCTGAGTGGGGTCCGGGTTCACGAACTTTGCTTCAAGAAGGGCCAAATCTGGAAAGAAACAAGTTAGGTTTAAAATAAAACCAGATTCTCTTTCAAATCGAATCCTATTAAAAGGTGATTGAATTAGAGAGCACAATATCTCACCTAAGATATCGGGGGGGATCACGGGCTCGGGACTGAGGATTGGGAAGCCGGATGAGCCGTCAAGGAAGTACTCGCTGGAGGTGGTGTTGGCAGCGGCCGAAACTGGAAAGAAGCATGTTCTTAGCTAATACCTATGAATCGAAGAGGTTCACTTTTAGATTGAAGGCTATTAAAAAGAATTGAATAAGGGTTAGAATAAAATCCCACCAGGTTCCAAATTGCTTCCGATATCTTGCATTCCGACCTTCGTGTTCAACTGAAGCTCAAGCTCATTAAAATAGACCATTAAAAAACCCACTTCTTGGTTGAGGCCGGGATCAGAGTGGAGAATCTCGTCCATTTCGCTCTGAACTACCAAGAAGCCGAGGTCGTAGTTGCAAAGGGCGCTGAGGTCTAGATCCTTCTCGAACTCAGAGAGCTGCGGAGTCGTTGATGGGTTGCTGCTTTGCTCTTTTGATCCACTGGTTTCACCCTCAGGCTGCGATGTCGAAGACGTCACTGCAACGTCACTGCTCATCGTTGAGAAAAGTGACTGGCTAGTCTTCATTGACGACTCTGAAAACAAACATGTTCTACTAATTCGCATAATTAAGAAAAATAAAATCGTACCCGGCAGTTGAAAGCTACTTTCTGGCATAAAACGAGAAGAGTTGGAAGGACCAGCAGGAGCTAAAAAAACCAGAAATTAGGAATTAGGTTTAGCACGAAGTAAGGAGTTACTTTCAAAACTGGAATCTATTAAAAATTGTTTAAATCAATGAACAGAATAAAAGCATACCTGCGTGAGATGCTGTCTTCTTGTGCTTGCCACTTTTATCAACTTTAACGGCTAGGATTTGACGTTCCTGAGAGAAAAATACTTTTTGATTTAGAAGATAAAGTTTTTGACGACCTAACAATCTAAGCAAATGCATTTGATGGATTAATTGAAGAAAAATACTATATTCATAGAAACCCAAACCTACCGAAACAATTGATGAGGAAACATCTTGAACGGTCATTTTAAACTCCGCCTCTTGCTGTCGTTTCTCGTCTTTCCCTAAAGAATCGAGTTTTTAGTATCAATTCTTTTTAAATAAGAGGTAAAAATAAGAATAAGATTAAAATAAGAAAGATTTAACTAAAAACCAATTCAAAATCTTACAATTCAAACACTCCAGGGTAATTTCCCTCTCCTCGTTGGGCGGGATTGGCTCTGAGTTCGTGTGTACCTTCCAAACAACAGGGTCAATGGATTTTTCTTGTTGCGTTGTTGTTGTTTTGCCTTCGTATTTATGCACCTCAATCTGAAAGAGAAAATTAAAAACTTATTTCGAAACCTCATAATACTTCTGGTTTAATTTGTTAAATTGAATTAAACATTATAAAAGTCTAGAAGTCTCAAATTACTCTTTACAAGATATTAAAGAAAACCTTGACGACAATCTTGTTTGCTCCATCATTTCTGATCCAAATACTGCGTGTACCATTTCTCTTTTGATCCAGCTTAATTTTGTACGTCTAAATTTTCAAGGTTAAAGTATGCAAGTAAAAGACGGACCGGCTTAGCCAAGCGGTAATCACAATCCAGGAACGAAATTTCGGCCAAATGTTGCTGATTTGGCGAGAAGAACTTGTATTGCCTCCAATTCTTCTAAAAAAGTAAAATGTTTATACTCCAAATTGAAACAATCAGGAATCGAACCCGACACCCCCTTGTGGCAGTCGTTTTGTAGATGGGACGTTAACCACCTCGACCACCTCGACTTCACGGGGAGCCGAGATTCATAGTGTGACGGACAGACAGACCTCAATTATATAATAGTTATTAAAACAAAGACCTTTATAAAGTAACAAAAGTCATTTAAATTGACTTTTGACCTTAACAAGAGGGAAAACTTAAAGATCACGAAATTTTAACTTTAGCAACAAAAACTTTAACAACAAAAAAACCTATAACAAAAATCGCTTACTATATCGGGAGCTGGCGAGTCGGAAGATGAATTGTGCGAAGGTGGAGCATCATCCATATATGACTTCAGTTTCGGCATAGTCTAAAATCTCTCTGCAAAAAAAGTAAAAAAAAGTCCGACGAGCTCCCTTCCTGCTATTTGCACGCCTAACGGCGGGTTTTTCTGGCTGGGTGTTTTGGGGCTAACGTATAGTTTGATCTCCCGAGTCAAAGGGGCAATCGGGAATCGAACCCGACACCCCCTTGTGGCAGTCGTTTTGTAGATGGGACGTTAACCACCTCGACCACGCCCCCCCCCCCTCGCCTCCCAAGGGCCGCCGACGGCAAAAAGGGGCGTGGCTAAGTGGTTTTTCTGATTTTTTTACAGGTTTTTGATGAAAAACTTGTTTTGACCAAAAAGTATGTACCTATTCATTTTAAATTAACTATCGATCAAAAAAGTTTGTCGAAATCGGTTCACGGGGAGCCGAGATTCATAGTGTGACGGACAGACAGACCTCAATTATATAATAGTTATGAAAACAAAGACTTTTATAAAGTAACAAAAGTCATTTAAATTGATTTTTGACCTTAGCAACAGAGAAAACTTAAAGATCACGAAATTTTAACTTTAACAACAAAAAAACCTATAACAAAAATCACTTACACTATCGGGAGGTGGCGGGTCGGAAGTTGAATTGTGAGGTGGAGCACGATCCATGACTGGCGGAATGGAAGTCGAGAATGTGTATGATAAATCTATCCATGCTCGTTTCTATTTATATGAGGTTTAAATGCAAATTTGAATTTTTATAAGTAAATATTTTATAAATGCAAATGTTTGTAAGCAAATTTTTGAATGTTCTAAGATTTTTTATTTTTATTTTAAGATTTAATATTTTTCACTTAAAATGCAAATGTTTCTTGGGGTAAATTAACATGAAATCAAAAGTGATTTTTCAACTAGTTGTCGGTGGCTTGAAGTTTCAATTTTTTTTTCAATTTTCAATTTGAACATGTTGCGAGAAAAATTGCAGCCGAAACTTTTGCAAACTCGATGTTAAAAGACTTTTGCGCATGACTGTAGTACTAACCAGCATGCGAACAATGTGGAAGAGCAGTGGCTGTGCGGCCTCATCAACCGGCAATGAAAGTTGAACTCGCAACAATTGTTCCCCAAGGTGTTCTACCTTAAACAAATATTGGCCAGTTATAATTATAAGTGAACTTACATCAAGAAGGCAATGCAAAAGTCACACGGCTCCAAACCAAGATTGAACAGACTCCGAAGAGGTCAGCGCCTAAATTTGCGTCTTACCAGATAGTTGGGCGCAAATACCTGAATAACTAGACTGCCAGTTGAAAGTGAGTGCATGAGCTGCCGGAAGAAGAGTCTCTACAAACTGAAAACGTTTTTTAAAGCAATAAAAGGATGAGGTAGTACTTTTGTTTTTCCGAATTCGTTATCATGTAGGTAAGAAAGGAAAGCGTAGAAGACGGAGTAACGCAGCTTGAATGGTTGACGCTCGGCAGTCAAAGAAAGGAGCAAAACAAGGAGCGCTGGTCTAAACACGCCTGGAGTTTTTGAAAAATAGAGTTTCAAACCGTTGACTTCCTTCCGCTGTAAGCAAAGTGTTGCTTGCAAAATACTCTTGATTGGTATAATTTCCTCAAATCACTTTTGCCACTGCGATCACCGTTTCAGTTAAAACCTAAAATATCTTGTAAAACATTCACAACCATTTTTCACCTCCACTAATACTCCAATTTCTGACAACTATACTCGACAAAGTTCGCTCAAAATTTCTAAACGTATTTTTTGATTAATTTTATCAAAGTCAATTACGAGTTTGATGAATGATCATTTGAAAAGCATGTGTATTTGCTGAAACGTTATCTGGTGAAACAAGAGCTCGGATGGCCTGAAAAGTAGGGATAGAAATCTTGAAATAATGTCAAACCTGCAAAAGGCAAATCAATTTGCGGTTCGCTGTTTAGTCCCCTCGGCGCTTTCATCGACGTCTTCTGAAAAAGCCAAAGATCCGAGAAGTCCATGATTAGCCTAACAGCGACATTGAAGCTTTGTAAAAAAGGTTTACTGATTTTCCCAAAAGAGCTGCTGATTGTTTGCATTTTTGCAAAGCAAGTTCAGAATCATAAAAAGACAATCTTCAACGATGATAATTAAAAGAACAAAAAAGAACAAAGTGTTTCCCAAATTAAAAACTACGTACTGTCAATTGGCTCAGAGTCAACAATGTCGATGTGTATGGAGAAAGCGTTGTCATAGGCAAGTATTTGTTGCAATTGGAAATGTGCTCGTGAAAGTTCGCAAAGTAGCTGTTACAACCTAAAGCCCAAGTTGAATTGAGTTGCTTTATTGAATGGACCTCTCGATTCTGAACAAGAATCGTGAACATGTGAACATTATCGTGAACAAGATCCATAAGACGCGTAACCCCCATCGGTTGTTGAATAACCGCATTTTGCACCTCAGTTCCTCGATGACGTAACAAAGACGTGAGCAATTGAACCGAAATACTAAAAACAGAATTGTAAATAATTTAGTAGAGGAATCATTATAAGTATTCTTATAATTTCCCTAGTACATAACTATTAACCAACCGTCTCACAGCGAACTCATCTTGCTCCAAAACGGCAAGAACCGGTGAAATAAATTGAGGTCGCTTGAGCATTACCTAAACACAAAAATAGCGAAAAAAAAACACAGATATAACTACCTCAGCAAGTCTTTCTCCCAGTTCGCTTTCTTCGGGGACATCATCATCACCGTTCAGAACAAATAAAAACCCTAAACAATAAGTTTAGATAGAGTTTGTCGAAAAAAACCTCAAATGTAAGCGATAAAAGATCGATCGTATTTCTCTCGTTGGTTAGTACGTCCATAAAAGCGTTGAGTCCCAATGTACCAACTGCAAGACGATGTTTCTAAAGTAAAGACTTGTTTTAATTAGTAACTGCAAAAATACTTTGGCCAAATTTTGTCAAGCGCATCTCGACGACGACGATCCAAGTTTCGACCTAAATTTGTTGATTTAAAAATATTGCTAATGTTTTCCATAAAACAATTTCATTTTTCAAACTGTTCTTCTCTACAATCCGCAAATTAAAACCAAAAACTAACCCGCTCAACAAGCCTTTCCACCACTTCGGCTCCATTATCATCAGCTAGGTCCGGCCCGTTCCCACCACCATAAACATGCGGAGCATGAGCCAGGCTAAAATATAACATTGTTAAAACATATTGAAAGTAAATTCGAGAGAACAAACATTTTCTAAAGAGAACTTTTCAGCAATAAACATGCAACGATATAATTCGTTAGCTATTTGGCTATCTGGTAAAACGCCTGCGGCACTTGAATTTTAGACTGTACTTGACGAGTTTCTGTTTCCTGCAAATTTGGATCCATCCAAAGTGATGACATTGGATATGTTCGACTGAAGAGGAATAAAGTTTGATTTACTTTTTGACCTTGGAAACTTTTGAAACGCATTTTATTTGGCATTTAGTCAGATTTAGAGAAAAAATAACCCATTTTCTAATCACGGGAAAACTCTTCTTTAAAGATTGTGACCGTAATTCGATGCTGTATTTGCTTTCGTCAGTTGAAGGGAGAAAAGCTCCAATTAAAAAAGAAAAGCATTGAATGGGGGAGTGGGACAAATGCGACCTTTTTTTTGCGCACCCGGCCATTTGCGCACCTTTTTTTCCGCACCTGGCCCATTAGCGCACCTTTTTTCGCGTTTTAAAAAAGCTCTAAAAAGCTAATATTAACCAATTTCTATTCCAAAAGTTGTTTTTCTAGGTAATTTGAGGGTGTAGAATCGAAATTTTGACATAACAGAGCGTGTGGAATCAATTTGAAAGACAAAACGGGTAGGTCAAATTACAGAAAATGGTCGATTTTTCTCTTTGTATAACTCCGTCCGTTCGCTTCCACAAGCTCTGATATGTCAAAATTTCGATTCTACGCCCTAGAATTATCTAGAAAAACAACTTTTGGAATAGAAATTGGTTAATATTAGCTTTTTAGAGCTTTTTTTTAAAACGCGAAAAAAGGTGCGCTAATGGGCAAGGTGCGGAAAAAAAGGTGCGCAAATGGCCGGGTGCGCAAAAAAAAGGTCGCATTTGTCCCACTCCCTTGAATGGCGTTAAAATTTAACACTTTGGTTTATGTTGAAATGTTATTTTGTTTCTTGATTACTGTCTTTTCTTCTCATATTCACTTTGAGACGAGCAAGTATCGATCAAGACTGTTGGGTGACTACAATCCCCAAATCATACTGTGTTGGTTTGAATTCAAATTTGCATAGATTAGAGCAATTAATGCGACTTGTGAGTCTAAGGATTCGCATAAAACTCGAAGCTTTCATGCTAAAAAGTGATAATTCCTTTGCCGCAGGTTCCAGGAAATTTTGTAATTAAACTTTCTCAAGAAATAGTCATAAGTACTTATTTATATATCGAATTGGGTGTGCAAAACATACAGTCAGCAAAAAAAGGCTTGCACCATTGTCTCCCAAAGGCTTAAAACAAAAAATTTTTCGTAAAAAAAGCGTTTCAGAGAAAACTTGTTGGCAACTAATTCTACTATGGTGGTCTAGTTTCCGAATATATTATTCATTTTTATTGCAAGTTATTCCTTTTGACGTAAAAAAAAACAAGTTTCATTAGAGACACCCGGTTTAGAGCGCAAAAAAGTCTTGCACTATCGTTGTATTCTGTTGTAAACTTTTTCTTTTTGTTACTCACAAAATTACTCACAAAGATTGTCTTTCCTTGAAATAAATTTTCTACTCCAGATAACCTTGATTCAAAAGCTGATTATTGCATAACTTTTTATTAAGAAAAAAGTCATAAAAGAGCGTTTTGGTGGTTCAGTTTAGAAATTCTGAAAAATCGCGAACGACTTTTTGGCCAACCTAATACTTGCTAAGCTAAACTTTTCGTTTCCTTTAATTTGTTACTTCATATCGTTTTAGTGAATCTAATCTTTTGAATTTTCAGCTATCCCACAACTTTAAGCGAGAGTGGATGGCTCTCACCTTCTATTCTCTTCTTGAAGCCGCTCTCCTCGTTCTCAACGGAATCGCTGTGCTCAATCGGGATCGCTTTCTCAAGAAAGTTAGTTTGTTTTGTTTTATCACTGTTATCAACCTTTGAAAGATAATATAGCTTTTTGCTAAATATATTTGAGTCGATAAGGGTTTTATCATTGACGTTTTCTCGTTTAGGTCGGATTTGGACAAACGACTCAATCATTTGACGATCCGTCAGGCCAATCGATCAAGGATAAGATTTTCACGTTGATTTTTGCTGTACAAACTGTTATGCGAGGTAAATTTTGTAAAAGCTTAACTGGGTAATCTTGGTGTAAATCCGCTGATAACGGTAGCGCTTTTGCCATTCACCCATTATTTTCTTTTAAATTTTATCAGCAAGCAAGCCTATTAAAATTCCTTATATTATTGTGCCTTTACACTTCCGTGGGCTAAAGAAAGCGTCTTTTGGCGAGAGCACAGAGAAAGGAAAAAGGTCGCAGAAGAGAATCAGCTGAGTGGCTATACACATCGATTTTTCTGGTCAACATGCTTTCGGTCAACGACGGCGTTGACTGAAAGCACGCATTTAACCTTTAATTCAAAAATTTATATAATTTTGTCATAAAATTAATAGCATTGCTTAGTTTTGCTTAAATAAGGACTTTTATTTTTAGTGCCCCTCATTGGCATCAACATTGTTGTCATTATCTTCAAGTTAATTCTTGGTTAATTTATCAAACAAGGTAAGTATTGATTTCCTGATTCAAATACGTGTCTTTTTAGTTTTCATTCTAAATTAAAAATTTTTCTTCGTCTTTTTTGTAAAAATGGATTCCAATGCAGCGTTAGAGTATCAAACGTTTAAAATTCCTTATGAGGTAAAGTTTTTTTTACTTTTTATAAAAATATTTTACGTTTAGACTTTAAATAAACAATTTCGTGAAACCCAAAAATCACTGGGTCGCCAAAGAGCCCGTATACAAGGTAGGGATTTAGTTCCTTGAAAAGTTTATAGGATTCTTTTAGATGCCAAAAATTTGTTAGACACCAAGTTAACTGCCGAAAAACCGATTACATTAGATGAAGTGAGTTTGAATGTGTTTAAAACTATTCAAGTTTTGTGTTTGAGCAAATATAAAACTTGTAAGCAAAAACAATTGTGGTCTATTTTTAATTGTAGATTTCTAATTCATTTGATTCAGGTAGCCGCTCCTCTTGCTGAGTTCAAAAATCGTGTGTCAATGATGGATTCGCTAATCGAGAAAGCCTATGAGGAGCAAGCTGATGGATTACACGATCTTCAACACAGAGCGCATTATTTGCATACTGGAGTTAGTTTTTTAAGAGTTAAAGATTACGAAATTTTCAGGTCGATGGAAGCCTCACAAGCATTGAACAATGGATGTGGAATAAGGAGAGGTGACAGCTACTGTTTGGGTTTGAACTTTAAAATTTAGAGTGGATCGTCTTGTTCTTCAGCACTTACTACGGTGTGGTCACCTTGAGACAGCACGAGCTTTTGCTGAGAAAACTGGGCTCGGACGACTTTGTGATATTTCGATTTTTGAAAAGGCTGATTTGGTGAGTTACTTTTCCTATTGTGCTATTTTAGTTTTACAGTTAATATAATTTCAATGTTTAGAGTTAACTAGCATGAAATTGATTCTGATTTTAGGTAGAAAAGTCACTTCTCAACGGTCAAACGGGTCCCTGTCTCGAATGGTTGCACGAGCACCGGAGTCGGCTGAGGTGTGTAATTTAGACTTCCTAAGAAAAAGCTTTATTAAGGCGCTTGACATCTACTTTTGAGACGGAGATTCGGAGTCACGATGTAATGGAACTCGTTCGAGAAGGGAGACGACTTGAAGCTTTAAAGTAAAAAGCATTAATATAGTTTTAAATGCTGATGTTTTAGATACGTACGTCGCTTTTTGGCTCAATCATTGCAAGAGGGGAATGAAAAGATTAGAAAGGTGAGAAGAAAGGTTTTGGACCTGCATAAGAATTAATGGATAACAGATTAAGCGTTAAAGTTTCAATTTTTTTTTAGTTAATGGCAGCAATTGCGTGCGGCGTCGAAAGTAAAGCCTTCAGAGAATTAGATTCACCGAAAGGCTGGGAAGAACTTGTGCGACTCTTTAGAATGGAGAATGCACGGATATATCAGGTTTGTTTTGGTTTTTTGAGAAGTGGTAGTTTGTATATTTGAATCGACACATAATTTGTTCTCAACTTTGGCCATTTAGTTGCCCGAACAATCAATCTTCTCGGCTTGCCTTCAAACGGGAATTTGCGCTCACAAGACTCCATCATGTGCACCAAATGCCAATCCAAAGTAAGATTTTATTAAATCTACGAATTTGCATTTGTTAATGATACACTGTGGTGCAAAAGTCCTGACCGGTCGCACTGTCCTATCAAGTCTGAACCATTTCGCCAGAAAAAGAACGTTAAAATTTTATGGTAAAAACGTTTTTGGATAGCTTAAACCTTCTACTTTTATAATCCAAAGAATGAAAGCAATAACATTTTATTTAACAAAAAATTTTGACAATATTCCGAAACGACTCAAAAAACATGGTGCAAAAGTCTTGACCGGTACAAGAAAACACAAGAAAATTCAATACTTCGTAGGTCCTCCTTTTGCGACAATGACTGCCTAGATGCGTCTAGGCATCGAGTCGACCAAATCACGTAGAATTCCCAAAGAAAGTTGTCTCCAAACATTTCTGATAAAGAAATAAGCATTGACCTTTGAGTTGAACCGGCGTCCCTTGAGTTTGGCTTTTAAATGGGCCCAAAGATGCTCTATAACGTTCAGATCCGGCGAATAGGGAGGTGCTTTGATCAATTCCACACGATGAGCAGCAAAAAAGCCGGGCAGGCGAACTTTACCTCCATTTGTAAGCCGGACAACTCGACCCATCAGTAATTGGCTTTTGTGGCATGGGGCGTTGTCTTGATATAAGGCCCATCCTTGTGGCATGTTTGCGTTGGCAAATGGAAGTAGGTTGTTCTCCATGATCGACTCGTACCCCTGAGCATCAAGAGTTCCATTGATAAGCACTAGGGGCCCCGGTACACCTCGGTTCATCGAGCCTAAAGAAGACAGATTGTAAGTAAAAAGTAAGGCGAACACTTACCCCACAACATAATGCTCCCACCGCCGAATTTGACCGTCGGTTTAACGTATTTGAGCTTATAACGTTGTCCAATTGGCCTTCTGATTAAATGGTTGCCGTCCGGGTAGTACAAATTAATTTTAGTCTCATCGGTGAAAATGACTCGGGCCCAATCATCGGAAGTCCAAAACTCGTAGTTCTTTGCAAAAGCATATCTTAGCTTCCGAGTTCTCGCATTCGTCAAGGGTCGTTTCGCTGGTCTTCTCGCATGTAATTCAGCTCGAATCAATCGCCTATTGAGACTCCATCGGGAAATATCCTTGCCAGAAACAGCCTTCAACTTCTTGATCCCATGGCTCGACGTTAGATTAGGGTTTATTCGGTGCTCCCTGATGATCGAACGATCCTCATTTGGTGTTGTAATTGGTAGTCGACCTCTTTTTGGGGCTCTATGAACGTTTCCTTTTGATTTGAATTGCGCCACGAGACGTCTCACTGTTTTTTCAGAACACTTGAACGTTTCCATCACATTCTTCACGCGAACGCCTTTTGTTCGATTCTCGACAATTTTCTCTTTGTCAGGCGTTGATAGATATCGTCCTGGCATCTCAAAAAAATAAAATTAGAACCAAAAAGTTTATGCAGAAAGACAAGAAATACCAAAAAAAATCAAGAAATAAAAAACCGGTCAAGACTTTTGCACCATGTTTTTTTTGGGTCGTTTCGGAATATTGTCAAAAATTTTTGTTAAATAAAATGTTATTGCTTTCATTCTTTGGATTATAAAAGTAGAAGGTTTAAGCTATCCAAAAACGTTTTTACCATAAAATTTTAACGTTCTTTTTCTGGCGAAATGGTTCAGACTTGATAGGACAGTGCGACCGGTCAGGACTTTTGCACCACAGTGTATTGTTGACGCTGACATATTGCTTTAGCTGCATTGCCTGTGATACAACCGTGCACACTCTGGCCGCCGATCTTCCATTTGCAAATGTTTCGAATTCGAAGTAAGTTGGATTGAGCGTATCGCAAAAAATTGTTTTAGGCTCTTATGTGGATTGACGGGCGAGCCGCTCGATGAGAAAAACGTTCCGATGATGCTCGAGTCAGGTCGTGTTTATGGAGAGAAAGCTGTTTTGCAACTACGAGAGGGAGATTACATCAGGTAGATTCTTGAAAAGGTTTACATAATTGGTTGGAAACAATTTAAACGGCACGCATTGATTAAATTAACAAGTAGCATGAACTTTTAGGTGCCCTCGAACCAACACGAAAACGCACGTGAAACAATTAGCCCGGCTCTTCATCTTGTGATTTTTAGCTCTCTTTTGTGATTTTGGGTTTTCTTAGTGTAAATAAATATTATTGCAATAAAAACCAGAACAATTCGAAAAAGCTTACGAAAAGACACAAAAATTGGGAACCAGAACTTGAAGGCGAGAGCCAAAAGGACGCGTGAAAATTTGCCTGTATGACTGAAAAAATTTCCATTTAACCGAACAATATAAAGAAAAAATTAGCCCTGAAAATCTCTTTCAACACTTCTCGTCTCATCAAATGGCCGCCAATCGTCTCTTCGTGCTTTATTTTCTAGTCGCTTTCTCGGGCTTAGTCGAAGGCGCCGGTCGATATGCATGCTACATAAAATACGCTTCTTCTGTTCTGAAGCAATTCGTTTTTTTTTGTATTTTCAAAAAACAGCTTTTTTGGTGAATTGATTGTTTTGTTGTTAAACCTTTTTGGCTGTCCATTTTGACTGTTGTTGTGGATAAAGAGGCTTGCATGGGCACGGGCAAACTTGTTTTCACTACTGTTGTCCGTAAGGAAAATCTGAAATTCATTGGTAACTGACGATCTTATTCTAATTCTAAAGCTTAACCTTTTTCTGGATTGTTATCTGTTTCATTATATTCGTTTGTGTCTTTCTTATTGTTACTTGTTATTGTACGTATTGAACTTAGCTTAACTGTGTGTGTTATAGCGTTTTGTGGCGAGATTGGGCTGCTACGCACGTAATTTCAAGCGTTGAAGTAAAAATTAGCTGCTTCAAAGGTCGTTCGGACTGATGCTTACTGTGTAACTGCTCATTTTATAATACACCACAGACTTAAATATTCAGCTGAGTTAATTAAATTCTAAGCAAATAAATCAAATCAACTACAAAGCACGAGCTCGGGCAATCAGAGGTGCTAGCAAAAGCACCACGCTTTTTGCGCCGACTATCATTTGCGCCAAATTTGCGCTTGTGAAACTCACTATGACAAATCACTTTTCCCCAACTTCTAATCAACTTCTTTTTTTCAGTTTTCTGCTTCACAATTTTAATTCACACTGTTTTCAATTAGAAAACATTTAAATACCTATACAGACCCCAAAAACAGTCATTTTTGCGCCCCCGTTTAGGCTTTTTACTCTCTATATTGATCTTATGCCATTTTCAGATCCGGTGAAGGCGGCAAAATAGCGAGCATCATCGATGAGAAAAAGCTGAAAAAAAAATATAGTGTGTTTTTTAGGAAAGTGTGTTGAAAAGCGCAGATTTAGTGCAAATGATACGCAAAAATTTTCAGCACAAAAAATTCGGCGCAAATAATTTTGCGCTTTTTCTAGCATTTCGGTAATCGCGGATTTTAGTTTTGAGCCAAAACTGAAACATGAGATCCCTTATTTTTTGACTCTACATCCAAAAATGTACCACACCACATTAAAATCGGTCAATTGGAGGCCTAGAGTGCGACTACGCGACACCCGATAACGCAGCTGAAAATAGGCCATTTGGGCATAGTTTTAAATAAGGATTAACCAATAATTGGTTAATCCTTATTACAATAATAACCAACAACTCTTCATCAAAGCAATACCGGGACCATATCCTGAATATCCTTCGAAGCCGTCGGTAAAAGTTGGAAGAGTCGTTGTTTTGTGCCGAGACAGCAATCTCTCGTGTCTCATTCAAAAGAGTTGACAGTCGCTTTTGTTGGCCTCTCTGACGCCGAATCATTCAATTGTTATAAGAAAAGCGATGGATTGAAGGAACAATACGTGGGTGCTATTTTTGATTTAGTACCGTTTAAATGCTGCTAGTTAAAAATAAAATCGCTCGAATGTTTGCCTAATGTTTACTTCTTTACAATGGGCTTTTACTTTTAGAAGGTCATTTGTGACGTAAACGTATGCGTAGCGACTATTGACGGAAACAGGGTGAGTAATTTTCGTCATTCCTTAACCATTATTTTAAGGTGAAAAAAGGTTGTGCAAATCCTGATGGGATCATTGATTTAATCAAGGTGTCTACTGGCGTGCAAATTCGGTATCAAGCGTGCGATCTCGAAGTAATCTATGTTCGTCGAAGCATTCTCTTCAACTTTAATTTTAGATTAGCGGCCCTGATTCTCATTATGTGGATCCAAATGCGGATGCTGGCATTCAAACAATACTGCTGCCAAGGCGATCTCTGCAACGAGGTAGCGCTTTTGTTTATATTTTCTAGTATATGGGGAAGCTTTCTATAACCTCACGATAGAATTATAACCTCATATAACCATTTGACCTCATTTTAACCGTGGAGGTTCGTTAGAAGTTAGAAGAAAAGTTCGTTACTATATGGTCTCTCTCTCATCGGTGATTTGATGTCTTTTTAAAATTATTATACCACTTAGGCTGGCAACGGTGCGGGACTCTTCGGCATGTCGATTCCACTTCCCATTCTCCCATCGAATGGCCGCCAATCGTCTCTTCACACTTCTCTCACTCATCGTTTTTCTTGGCCTCTCCGACGCTGTACTATTCAATTGCTATAAGAAAAGCAGCGGATTCCCGGAAGAATACGTGGGTTATCTTTTTACTCTAATATTGTTTGTATAAACTCCGGTTATCTAGGTTTTAAATTTTGGTAGAACAGAACAACTTCTTCATTTATAATCGAAGTTTCTAAATTTGTTGCTGGTGTTTAAGTTTCAGAAACTGTATTGAGTTTGCCACTGACTCAACGTATTGCCACTGAATAAAATTTGCCACTGACTGAGTCAGTGGCAAATTTTATATTGAGTTTAATGGTAAATCACTTTTTGAGAAATCTTATATTTTAGAAGACCAATTGCGAGATGAACATGTGCGTCACATATACAAAAGGAGATGAGGTAACTGGATCTCATGTGCATCCATTCAACTTTAATTTTAGATGTTCAAACGTTGTGCATACCCCGAAGAGTCAATTGAGCTTTATAAGGCGAGCGACGACAAGACCTACACGTATAAAGAGTGTGATCCCGAGGTGTTTTAGTTGTTTTTAATAGTGATTTTCTTTTGTTTTTAGATTAACGCCGCTGGCTTTTATACAATGATCAAAAATCCGAAAACAAATCTGGATGAGCGTCGTGAAACCAAAATAACTTGCTGCCAGGTGATCTCTGCAATGAGGTAACGTTTTTGGTGTTAGCTTTCTGTTAGCTTTATAAGGATTCTTTGATTTTGGCATTCTCTTAATATTTTTATAATAATTTAAATAGTTTAAATACGCAATAAAAAAGTTTACTTACTTGGATTCAATGCATTTTCTTTTAGGGCGCAGGACTTTTTGGCATATCTGCTCCTATTTGCTCTCCCGTTTGCCGGATTTTTCTTCTGAAACACTACGGGTATCTTGTTTTTCTTTGAATCAGGAAAAATCTGTTTTAGGCTCTATCTACTTTACTTTACAAGAAATGAATACTTCGAGAAGAAAACGAACATTCCACGCTACTGCCTCCTGGTGAAATTTGTGCCTTTTTCGACAATAGATCTATTTTAGGATTTATTTTTGTTGTGATTTTGTAAAAAGCATAATATATCTTCGGGATTTTCAAAAGTATTGTTGCAAAGAACATCAAAAGAACTATGATAGAAAGAAACTTCAAAAAGAGAAACCGTAAAAATCCAAAAAGATTTGATCTGTGCTTCCATTTCGCTAACATACGGTTATCGATAAGCAAGTCTTCTGAGCTTTCTGAGTAGAAATGATGAATTTCATGAGATTATTTAGTTAAGCTGGTGGCTTTTGGGTGGTGGTCGAACAATCTACAAACAAGCCACACCCAGGAAGCTTTTCCGAGTAAAGAAAAATGATGACGTGATAAGAAAACACCTCATTTCGCATCAATCCCCTTATCTTTTTTCTAAAATTCGTTCAGAGAAGTGGGTTAATGGACTTTGAAGGCGTATAAATAGATGAGATTTTTCAGATGGATGAGATATCCGATTTCACCGAGGTCTACAAAAATGAAACATTTCGTGACGGCTCTTCTCTTTGTTGGCTGTGGTTGGTTTAGAAAATTGACTTCATTGAGTCTGTTATAGGATTTTTTTTTAGTGCAATAAGCTTGTATTTCTTGTAGATATTGTAAAACTCAAGTGTGTACTCTGGTACTTTATGACTGAATATCTTTTACTTTGATTTAAAATGCGGATTTTCTTTCTCTAGCACACTAGTAAGACAGAATAAATGGACAGTACCGGCTTGTCTATAAAACTTCGTGCAAAATAGGAAATGACTACAGTCGTATAGATCAACTTTCTACCGTAACCATTTTAAAATTTATATAAAACTAGTTTAGTAAAGGTTACGATAGAAACATTGCAAATCTGTCCAATGTTTAAGCATATTCAATCATTTAGCCATCGCTCAACGAACCACTCCAGCCGCCTGCCCAACTGGATGGTACCAAAATGGAAACATGTGCTATACGGTAAGTTTGCTCATAAATTAACATCTATTTCAAACGATTTCTAGACAAAAACGAACACCGCAAACACGTGGAGCATGGCGGAAGCCGATTGTGCGAATGATGGTGGACATCTTGCCTCAATTCATGACAATGCGGTGGGTGATTACAGTTTTATGGTACTCAAACTTTGAGCTACAGTATTACGGTAAAGTACAAGCTAGTTTTCAGACAGGCAATTATTTGGTTGATTTCATCTGGCAACACGGAATCGCGTCGGCCGCTTGGATTGGCCTCCGCACCGATCCAAATGGAAATTTCACCAACTGGAGCGATGGATCGAGAATTGACTACAAGAATTTTGGCCGTAAGTTTTATAGATTTATAAAATGGTAATTCGTGCAGGACACTTAGAATTTACAGTACACTTACATCTTTTTTCCAGCTGGCCAAGACCCGCCACCAGTCTGCTACGCGATCTCGGTCTCCCGCTCCTACTACCCGGGGAAATGGCTCTCAATGGTAAGTCTACAAACTTTATGTAGCAAAAAGCTTTCTGAAATAGATTTATGACATTTTGTCACAGTTTTGTTAAAAATTTTCAATCTCAATTTTCAGCCGTGTGACTCTCATTTCCGTGCGATCTGCGAGCGTCCACTTGGCGGATATACAACACCCAGACCAGCCCCGACTTGCGGAAATTCGACTTTCTTTGGAAATGATGGAAATGTGAGTGCTTTAGAAACAGCTTTACTGATAAATAACCGATATTTGATTTCTTTTGACTCAATCAAATTCTTGTCTACAAAGTCATCTTCCAGATCTACTCACCCGATTACCCGAACGACTTCTCGGCCCAAGAAAGCTGCAACTACAAGATCAGCGTCTTCAACAACTATGCCAACATCGAAGTGCCGCCAATTATGGCTTTGGTGAGATTAGATGGCTCTTAGACTAAGAAGAAATCAGCTTTTAGTCGGAATACTTCAGCTCTAACATTACTTTTTCAGCTCTCTTGGTCGATCACTGTTTACAATGGACTCGACAGGGATAACACTCAACAAATCTTCTACGATAGCTCGAATGGTAATCAACCAAGAAATTACACTGTTGGATTGTCTGCTTCATCGCCACAGGTTTATTTTAAAAGTGAAATATCATTTGCAATTTTCATAATCATTTACAAACAACACATTTCAGCTATTAGTCGTTTTCTACTCGACTCAGGACAACTCCGTTCGGCCATTCAAGTTGCACTATACGGGAACGGATCGTAAGTCTTGTAAATTTATATAAATTGGATCCAACAATGTTTTGGAATCTGCTTTTTAAAGAAAAAAAAGGTTTAGGTTTAAAATGAGTTCAGCTGACTTGTTGATTTCAAAAAAGTCCTAAATTCTAGAACCTGTCTACACCACGGTCACCACTCCAAGGCCATAAAGATGATAATTGCATAATAAAGATAATTTCTTTGAGCGTATGACAAACAAACAGACAGACAGACAAAAAAAACAAACAACAAACAAGCTTTTCTACTTTGTTGAATTACGGGACTACGGTACGGATAACGAGATTTGGCTACAGTAGACGATAACGAGATTTGGCTACAGTAGAGTTCTTAAACGTGGATTACAGACACTCAAGCTTTATAAAGGTGACGTTTAGAAGTTAGAAATGAAAGCAGAACAGATTAATGTTATTCTAAAAATTGAATCGATTTTTCAACTTGACCGAATGAACGATTTTTAGCACTGATCAACTTGACAAGCCAGTAAGATAGCCAAAAAGAGAAAGAAAAACGATTCGGTGCAATAAATGATAACGATTTTCTACCAAAAAGATCTTTTTTTTTTTGGAAATCAAAAGCTTTCCCGATAGTTTCCCAGTTCTAATTTTGCTTTCCAAATGCCGAAAATCGTCGTTGTTGGCGCGGGGATTATCGGACTTTCGCAAGCATGTATTTTACAGGAAAAATTTCCCGATGCTGAGGTTTGTTAGGGTTTTAGATTCATTAGATTAGATTAGATTTCGATTTAATTCAAATCATTTGATAATTTAGTTGATTATTGCTTTAAAGAATAGTTTTTAGTGAGTAAACTTATTCAGTCCAATAGCTGAACAGTAGCCAGTAACTTATTCAGTACAATAGCTGAACAGTAGCCAGTAACTTATTCAGTACAATAGCTGAACAGTAACCAGTTCACCCGAACAATAACTTTAGCTTTTGAATAAAATCTAAATATTGGGTTGGTGAATTGAAAACTGCCGGCTATTGTCATATGTGACAGTTTGAGCACTTTCTTCAAAAGAAACCCATTTTGGTGTCAATGGAGAAGTTGTAGAGAATCAAAAATCAAGCTTATATCCAAAATTTCAGAACGATTCAAAAACCGGTTTTCAAGAAATTCCAAATGTTACGAATTTTCACAAAACTTGCATTTTAAGCGAAACTACTAAGTGTATCTTTTTGGAAATTTGGCTATAAGCCTAATTTTTGATTCTCTACAACTTTTCTATTGACACCAAAATGGGTTTCTTTTAAAGAAAGTGCTCAAACCGGGACCTCTCCTCGATTTTTGAGTCTCACACTTGTCTCACACCAAACCTGTCTCACCAAAATCCTACCACGAAAGAGGAATCCGCAAATTGCCTGTAAAATGGGCAGAAGTCGTCAATAATAATGGAAATTATTTGGAATGAATTGATGGTTTTATGTTGAACAAATTTTAGCTCAAAGTCCCGCAGTTTTCAATTCACCAACCCAATAGTTAAATTTAAGTTAAACAGAAAAATTTTTTTTAATTTGATAAGTAATTATCTTAGAAATTTTTTCGATAAGTTTCTCTATTCGATTTTGAATAAAAGATTTGCTTTTAGATTACAATAGTTGCTGGTGATGTCTCACCGAATATTACATCGGATATCGCAGCTGGCTTCTGGCATCCATATCTTTTAGGAGATGATATACCAAAAGATACGCTTAAGTGAGTTAAAAAGTGTTTTTAGATTCGGATATAGATTATATATTATACAATAATTTCATTAATTTCTTTAATTTTTTAAATTTCTTTAATTTTTTCTCAAGCTTTAACTCTAGTTTAGATTTAAAAAGACAAAGCTTAAGCAAAATTAGTCTCTAATCTAAAAATTGTAGAGATTTATAGAAGTTCACGTAGTCATTCTTATCAAATTTCGGTCGGTTCTCATCCCCATCATCTTTCCCTTTATCATTCTTTTGCGAACCGTATTAGTAGGGTTTGGAATAAGCTCCCGTCTGGTATCTCCTCGTCTGTAGGAAAATTCAAAGTATCTGTGAACGAATTAGATCTTATTGCCATGTCAAATCTGCCTGCCCTATATTTAATCTTTTTGTATCTGTGTTTCTTAACTGTACTCTTACTGTACTATCTTTAGTTTTCTCTCTTTTTTTCGGTGAGAGTATTGTAGCAATATGTTATATGCAGTTATGATTATCTGATTCGCTTCTATTCGCCCCATGAATAAAGCATATATATGTTGTGTCCGATTTAGATTTCCGTCCGATTTAGATTTCCGTCCTATTTAGATTTCCGTCCTATTTAGATTTCCGTCCGATTTAGATTTCCGTCCGATTTAGATTTCCGTCCGATTTAGATTTCCGTCCGATTTAGATTTCCGTCCGATTTAGATTTCCGTCCTATTTAGATTTCCGTCCGATTTAGATTTCCGTCCGATTTAGATTTCCGTCCGATTTAGATTTCCGTCCGATTTAGATTTCCGTCCGATGTAGATTCAATCTAAATCTTATATAGATTGAACAATAATATAAACATGCTTAATATATGTTCTTAAGCGTTTTCTGTAGTTTTCTGCATTTTTCAAAGGTCTTTTATTGATTATTTCATAATTGGGTTTTCTTTTCAGAAAAAGATAGTAAAACAGAAAAAGACAGTAACAGACCTTTGAAAAATGCCGATAACTACAGAAAACGCTTAAGAACATATATTAAGCATGTTTATATTATTGTTCAATCTATATAAGATTTAGATTGAATCTAAATCGGATGTCCGATATAGACTGTAATCTAAATCGGACACAACATATATATATATAATCCTTTCCGAGCTTCTAATTCGTTTTCTAAAATGTGCTAACTTTACGTAACTCTTGCAGCTAATCTAGAGTGCAGCTAATCTAAAAATCAATTTGAGATTAAACTACTGTAATCTAACCACTAGTTTTCATTTTGATCAACTCAATTTTAGTATTATTCGATAAGGGATAAAGCTCAGTTAATGATAAGAAAATTTGAGCTGATTAAATGGGATAGAAAATGGCTGATTCAATTTTTTCAAATTCAATTCAGACGCTGGCTTGGCGAGACCTTCGACTACATTTTACGCTTTGCTCGCTCTCATCCGACTCACGGTGCGATGATCATTAGTGGGTTAGTCGAGTTTTCTTTCAGTTTTCTTTCTTTGCTACTATTCAACTAATTTTAGCTATTTAATAAGTACCAAATTAACTGAATTCAAATTTAGATACGAATTCAATCGAAAAGCCTTGGAAAAGCCGGAGTTTGCTGACTTTTTCCTCCAATTTCGAGAGCTTTCCTCGAAAGAAGTGCTAGAAGCGCGCGGGAAAGATGCCTATCCAGTTGAGTGAGTGTTTTGAAAATAAATAAAATGTATTTTGGTTGTCTTAGAGTCAAAAGAGCATTCAATCAGAGTATTCAAGCTCAACCTAATCTTCGGTCTCATTTAGCGCAAATTTTTGCAGTTTTGAATCCTAAAAAGGTAGCCAAAGTACAGTAGCTTGGACAGTAGCTTGGACAGTAGCTTGTATAGTAGCTTGTATAGTAGCTTAGACAGTAGCTTGTATAGTAGCTTGTATAGTAGCTTGGATAGTAGCTTGGACAGTAGCTTGTACAGTAGCTTGTATAGTAGCTTGTATAGTAGATTGTATAGTAGCTTTCCGTACTCTTAAACTAGCTTTTTAAATAATTACTGTACTATAATTATTGCAAAATTATTGTATTCCTTTTTGCAGGCAAGCCTGGTTCTACACAACGGTTTTTCTCGAAACGACTCTTCATTTGAAATATCTTTTTAACAAGTGGGTTTAGATATAGTTTTAAGTATTTCTAGATATAGTTTTTAGTCTAATTTATAAATTAAAATCTTTCTACAGCTTTAGCAACACTTGTATAGTAGCTTTCAGATATCTTTCCAACGGTGGCCTTCTCGAGCGGCGTTGGCTTAAATCGATCGACGAGCTAGGAGAAAAGGTGCTCAATTTTTTCACAATATTAAAATTTACATAATGAATTAGAATTGGTTCTTTACGGATAACGGGGGGACCAGCGATGATCGGGAGCGGGAGTTAGTTACTTCGGCTACCTTTTTAGAATTTAAAACTGCAAAAATTTTCGCTCAACTTGCAGTCCGATTTTAGATAGGTTTTTGTTAATAACTTTTGATAAAATAAATAGTTTCTGAAAGCTGACGTTCTAAGTTATCTAAATCTTATTAAAACTTTCTGATCTGACAAGTTTAAGGTGCTTAAAAATGGGCTGAAAGTTTGGCAAAAAATTGACCCTCGCCGATAATCGCTGATCGCGCCGTTATCCGTAAAGCATCTAGAATTCAATTCGTTATCAAAGATCTAAGATTTAAAGATCTAAATTGTAGTTTAAAGATCTAAATTCTAGTACGATCTGATCTTCAACTGTACTGGACTTGGCGCAAACAAGTTGGTCGACGATTTTGGGGTTTTTCCGACAAGGTATTGTTTTTCATATCTTTAAATATTAGATAAATTATATATTTTACTAGATCTTATAGTAAAATCGAGATAAATAACGGTAAAATTGAGGTAAAATTGAGATAAAATAGAGTCAAATCGAGATAAAATCGAGATAAAATCGAGCACTTCTAGAGGTCAAATCATCCGCGTTCGCTGCCCAGAAGTAAAGCATTTCTTCATCGACGAAGAGACTTATTGTTTGCCAAAGTTAGTTTAAAGAAAAGACTCTAATCTTTTGCTATATATTCAAGAATTTGAATTCATATTTACAATGGATTGCAAAAATTTTAGCTCCGAAACAACGGTGCTTGGTGGAACGGCGGAGAAAAATGATCACGATCTCTTGATTCGGCCAGCCACCGCGAAATGGATTCTCGAAGAGAATATCAAGAAAATACCGGCTTTAAAAGTTAGCTGAAAGGCTTAGGCTTATGCTTAGGCTTATGCTTAGGCTTGGACTTAGGCTTAGGCTTAGGCTTAAACTAATTAATTGACGATTAGAAAAACAGGAAATTTTTCAGAATGCTGAAATCGTTTCGCATAAAGTTGGACTCCGACCAACGAGAAGTGCTGTTAGATTGGAGACTGAGTACCGGACTATTGGAAAGAAACGGGTTTGATTTCGATAATCGTTCTTAAGTCAAGTTTACGCGGGCGTTTTTAGCCCAGTCGTGGTCTAGTGGATAGTGTGCTAGCATACAGATCGAACCGTTTTGACTGGGTTCGATTCCCCCACTTGTCGAACTTTTTCTGTTTCACAAATTCTTATACTATTTTTGCTTTGTTTTTAAGTGGTTATTTGGATGTAAGATCTGGTTGGGTCTAGATCTAGTTCTAGTATATCTATTTCTAGATCTAGTATATCTAGTTCTAGTTCTAGTATATCTATTTCTAGATCTAGTATATCTATTTCTAGATCTAGTATATCTATTTCTAGATCTAGTATATCTATTTCTAGATCTAGTATCTCTATTTCTAGATCTAGTATATCTATATCTATTTCTAGTTCTAGTATATCTAGTTCGAGTATATCTAGTTCTAGATCTAGTACTAAGCTTCATTTCTAGTACCAGAACAGAAATCATTCAAAGGGACTTGAACTAGACGAATCCAATCACCGACTTATCACAGACTTATCACATTTTGAGTGAAAGCTTACCGAATGGCGGACAGAGCCGTCGAATTACGGATGTAGATCTTGAAATGGAAAGCCTGTAGCCTTTAAATAAAATAGAAAAATATAGAATCTAATCATAGCTCTTAAAAAAACTCACCTTTCTAGGTGCCAATCATTCACAATTACGGTCACGGCGGATCGGGAGTGACCCTCTTTTATGGATGTGCTCTAGATGGGGCAAAACTTGCCGCAAATGTGATACAAAAGTCGAAAATTTAAGAAAAACTATATTCTTATTAAATTTTCCATGTCATTTTTTGTCTTTTTTGCCTTTGATAACTATTTATTATCTGGATACGTGCAAATGAAAGGCAATTCCCGATCACAGTCAACTGTCCACCAATCACCGGTGACACCAATCGCTGCACAACTCTTCGCCGGGTTTTCGCTTGGCTCATTTGCTAAAATCGATTTGTCATCGCCGATTTAGACTTAAGAATTAGTTTTTTTAAAATTGTTTCTTTGGTAAATGATGTGGATGCTTTGGTAAATGATAGATGATTATCAAAAACATCTTTTAGAGAGAATTCTTTAGCAGACAGCACATCGGAGATTTCACTTACTGGCCCAATTCTTGTAGACAAGCTCCGTCCCATCCACATAGCTCCACTCGCCGTTTACTTCCAGCTTTTCCACTCCAATGTATGTAAGATTTGAGTAAAGAAGGGAGGCTAAATTGAAAGATTTCCCAAGAATAGATGTGAATGAGTTGGTGAATGAGTCTTGACTGCTTTTTGATACTTCTATTTATATGTCGTAGCCGATTATGAATGAGTGGGTCTAGGAGCGTCCAACCATCAAGTATTTAGTATCATTCAACGCAGAATCATTGATAATTATGTTAAATTTTTGAAATTAGAAAGATTGGATAAAAAGAAAAAAAATTATGAAGCTTCAAAGTTTTCTCTTGAACAAACAGTTTTTTTGCTCTAATTTTTTTTCTTTTTTATCAAATCTTGCTAATTTAAAAAATTTAACATAATTATCAATGATTCTGCGTTGAATGATACTAAATACTTGATGGTTGACGCTCCTAGACCACTCACTCATAATCGGCTCCGGGGATCCAGCCGATTTTGAATGAAACGTTGTAGCGCCGGCAATTTTTAACCTAAACTCACAAATTTGGTACCAATCGACGCAGAATTGAATTCGCTACAAGATGATATAATATTGTCCTCATACATTAAAGGGGTTGCTCTACTAGAAAGATTTGCCAAAAATTTCATTCATAATCGGCTACGACATATATACCGTAAATACTGTAATAGTGCCCCATCGCCCTCGTACAGTCGCGTAGTTTTTTTAACTTGCCTACGGGGTCCCGTCGATTTTGAATGAAACGCAAAAGTTTTTTAGTATTTCATTTTTTTCAAATCGCCCGTACTTTCAAAAAATGCGTCTTTGGTACCAAAAGATAGCCCTGAATTTCAGCTATTTTTTGATACCTAAGCGCGCATTGTAGCATAAACGAGTGTCGAGAAAAACTCGTTCAAAGCTAGACTACGCAGCGCTCCGCACCGTCATTATGGGGGTGGGGTACTATTACAGTATTTACGGTAAATACTTTATTCAGGACCTGAAATAAAGTTCGCTAGATTACATGAAATGAAAGTATAAAAAAGGCCATTTATTTTAATTTATCATTAATCTAATAATCTTTTAGTGTTCAATTAGATCGAATGTTGCATTGTGATTGGACAAGAATTTGTTCAGTACAAGTTTATTCTTTCTTTCTCTCTTTCCTTTTCTCTTTCTTTCTCTCTTTCTTTCTCTCTTTCTTTCTTCCTTTCTTCCCCCTTATCTTTTCACTCTTTCTCTTGCCCATTTAAGATCCCGGATAGCTAAGTGGTTAGAGTGATTCTTTGGAAAGGAAAATCGAGGTCGAGAGTTCAATTCGCTCTCCGGAAAGAAATCTTTTTTGCTAATTCTTTATTATATTATGACCTAAAGTACAGTTTTTAGTACTGTAAGTACTTCAGGCTAAAGTACAGTCTATAGTACTAAGTACTGTAGACTAAAGTACAGGCCATAGTACTGTAAGTACTGTGGACTAAAGTACAGCCTATAGTACTGTAAATACTGTAGGCTAAAGTACCATCTATAGTACTAAGTACTGTAGGCTAAAGCACAGTCTATAGTACTGTAGGCTAAAGTACTGTAAATATTTTTGAGACTCACGATTAACGAGCAAAGCGGCTTGTTGATTTTCGTAGGCGTTTTTCGGTTGAACTAGTTGACCCTGAAATAATAAAGCTATTGAAAAAAGGATTCGGTAAGTGCACTGGGAAGTTTGCGTTTACATTTCTAAGCAAAAAGTACTAAGAAAAATGAGGCTTACTTGGAAAAAGTCCAAATGAATACAAGACTGACGGGCCGAGTTTTGACTCACAGCTGAATTTTGATTTTTGATTTTTGAATTTTGATTTTCTTTTCAACTTTAAAGTAAATTACTTTAGCTGAATAGTTGAATAGTTTTATTTTTAAAAGATTTAATTGAATATCTTTAATATCTTGAAGTGAATACCTTTAATATCTTTAACTAAATATCTTTAATGTCTTTAACTGTAGTACCTCTAATATCTTTAACTGAATATCTTTAATACCTTTAACTGAATATCTTTACTATCTTTATTTCACTATTTTCAAATCCACTCACCCGATCCGAAAGCCTGAATGCATTCGTTTTGATCGGAGAAATCGATGGCTCCATTTTGACATCCTTCACCGTGCACGCAAAGTACGGTAACAAAGACGAAATTTAGCAAGAACAGCTTTAGCATTATGAATTTTTAAGAAAATCTTCAAATCAATAGAAATTTGTGACGTATTTGAGTCAAGGATAAGCCTTATCTCAGCCGAGAGACCAGAGAAAGCATAAAGCATAAGCATAAAGCATAAGCATAAGACATAAGCATAAGACATAAACATACACCATAAATCAAAGCAAAAACTATTCTAGAAAACGAAGAGAAGAGAGAAATAGAGAAATAGAGAATCAAAGAGAAATATCCGAAGCTAAAGCTAACGAAATCTAGTCTTTGAGAAGTACCTTTTTAAGTTTTCTTTCGTTGAAAAGCTACCGATTAAGCAATAATGATAATAATAATCTCCGAAAGACCTAAGCAAGAAAAATTCTTTGCTAAAAGACTAGATACTAAAATATAAAACATCAAAATGTTTAAAGTGAGACTTTTATGCAAAAATGATCTTAAATACCTAGTCTAAGTTGTAAATTCATTCCAAATAAGCTGACTATCTAATTGCGAGAAAAACTTTTCAAAATTGTCACTGATTATGCAAAACAAATGATAAAGAATGCATTTTTCTCAATGGAATGTCTATATAGGCTTATATATATTAGATCCGAGCTAGAATTCGGACGACTAGAATTCGGACGACTAGAATTCGAACGTCTATAATTCGGGCGTCTAGAATTTGGACGACTAGAATTCGGACATCTAGAATTCGGACGACTAGAATTCGGACATCTAGAATTCGGACGACTAGAATTCGGACATCTAGAATTCGGACGACTAGAATTCGGACATCTAGAATTTTGACATCCGATCTAGAGTGAAGTGAGGTCAAACGTCCGATCTAGAATCAAATTTTTGACGCATTTCAACGCGCCAAAGATGGGATACTCGAAGTTTTTGATTTTCAAAGCTGTTTTTCTTTATGATAGAGTACTGGAATCGCTCTGAGACTACGATTTTCGGAAGCTACGCAAATGTAGCTTGTGTCTGTTTACTTGTTCGGAATCTACGCAAGTGTAGCTTGTGTCGGTTTACCTCTTCGGAATCTACGCAAGTGTAGCTTGTGTCTGTTTACCTGTTCGCTCAAAGATGCCATTACCCGCGAGTGGAATGCCATTCCAAGAAGCACCATCAAGAAGCTAGTTAACAGCATGCTGAGTCGAATATTTGACGTGATCAGTCTATGCAAATGTAGCTTCAGTCTCTTTACCTGTTCGGAATCTATGCAAATGAGCTTGTGTCTGTTTACCTCTTCAACTCTTTTCGTATTTCAAAAACAACAAAATTTTTATTGCTAAAATATAGATCAATATCTAGATCTGTGAAAGAAGAGAGAAATTGTAAGAAGGGAAGAAAATTTGTGATTTTTTTCAGTCTTTCAATGTAAAGACACGGCCATCAAGAACAACCATTTGATAGGGATGACCATTAGAGAAACGATAGTCCCTAAAAGGATTTTTGTTCTTAAAAATATCAAGAATTTGCTGTATTTGTTGAATTATATTTAGTTTTAGATCTTTTTTTTTAAAATTTACCTGTAAAAATCTTGAAAATTTCGTCGTGGCATGATCTTTGTTAATGAGCGAGCGTCACTGAAATTGAAATTTGGCTAATCATTTGGCTAATCATTTGGCTAATCATTTGACTAAATTCAATATTTCTAAATGAATTATATGATTCTTATTTAGTTCTTATTTAGTTCTTATTTAGTTTACAACAAAAATTTCAACTTAGAGATTTGTATTTACATGAAAAGTGCTTGAAAAAGAGAGTGATTAGGTAAATGCATAAGAAATGCGGAGATTACTGACGTTTATGGACCCGATTTCGTTTATGAACCCGAAACACGTCTTGAATTCAGGATTTCAACATTTCAACATTCAACATTCATTTCCAACGATAGAAAACTGATATCGATGAATGTTATAAAGTATTTGAAAGTTGTAAATCTCCTCTACAAAATAGGCTAAAACGTTTTTCAATTGATCGAACCATTGAAAAAGAAAATAATTGAACTAAGGTAGGGCTGACGAGCGAGCACTCTGTGCCAAAATGCCGATTAGCCTTTATGTGAGCCTTTATGCGTACTTTTTACGTACTTTGGGTACCGTATTTTCTCTAATAGTAGTGCACCCCAGCGAGATGACTATTTTACGGCTTTCAAAGTTTTCCCAGAAGCTCAACACTTTAATCCCCCAAAAGATCTCATCGTCAGCTACATTTTCCGACCCCACATCGATAGGTTCTGATAAGCGGTTTTCGAGATTTCGAGCAATTTAGGCGACGCTCAGGGTGCACTACTATTAGAGAGAATACGGTAATTGAACTAAGGTAGGGCTGACGAGCGAGCACTCTCTGCCAAAATGCCGATTACAAGCCTTTATGCATACTTTTGGCCTAAAACTGTAACCAAATCTATTCTATTGCACTTAAATTGCTTATTTTAACTAGTTATTCAAAGTTGTTGCTCTTATTTAAAAAGGATTTAATGAGGTGTGAAAGGTTGTGTTTAAATTGAGCTCAAAGTCCCGACGAAGATTAGGTAAATGCATAAGAAATGCGGATTTCAACATTTCAACATTCAACCTTCATTTCCAACGATAGAAACCTGATATCGATGAATGTTATAAAGTATTTGAAAGTTGTAAATCTCCTCCTGGAAATGCATTTAAAGAAATTTAGATAGAACCCAAGTTCAAAATCTTCAAAATCATCAAAAAAACCGGCTTATTCACAAAAAAAAAGAAAAATTATTGTAAAAACAAAGTTTTCCCATGAAATGATCCCAACTCTTAATTATTTTGAATGATATTTTTTAAGCGCTCATTTTCCACTATATAGTCAAAACCGAACTCTATTTTGACCACACTAAACTTGTCCCTAAAGTGACTCGATTCCTTTTTTTGGTCGCTCGCATTTCGGCCTCGAAATTTCTTCAATGCTTCGATCAATTGAAACACGTTTTAGCCTATTTTGTAGAGAAGATTTACAACTTTCAAATAGTTTATAACATTCATCGATATCATGTTTCTATCGTTGGAAATGAAGGTTGAAATGTTGAAATCCGCATTTCTTATGCATTTACCTAATAACTCTCTTTTTCGAATACTTTTCATGTAAATACAAATCTCTAAGTACAAATTTTGTTATTAAGCTTTTATTTATCGGTTTTTTAGGGGTTATTTTTGACGCTGATCACGAAACACATGTTTTTAGCCTAGTTTTTAGCGAAACACATGTTTTTAGCAAACTAACGAAACGTGAAAACAGCCATTTTTTGGCTCTGCCGCCCTTTACTAAAATAGCTGTAAAAACTTTTAGAAAAGAGATATCTCAAAACGGTTTTTACCAATCGATCCGTCTTGAATTCAGCTTTAGGATGAGCTATAAAACGTCAAAATTCGACAAATTTAAGGTACTCTCCCAAAAGATCGGAAAAAACTTTTCCACCAACCCAATATTTCTTTTTTTATTTCTTTATTTATTTCTTTCTTTTTAATTTCTTTTTTTCTTTTATTTCTTTTTTTATTTCTTTTTTCTTTTATTTCTTTCTTTACTCACTTTTTTCTCATCCTCATTTCCAAGAAAGGGATTTGTGGAGCAGCAACGAGTAAATGTAAGGTTAAAATAAAGAAAAATGATGAGAGAATCAAAGCATTTCGCATAATTTCTCTTTTCTAATGTTGTATACCCTTGAATAATATGTTGAAAGATCTAAAAACGTTTAAATACAGATAAATCTAAAGAAAAAAAACAAAGAACAAAGGGTTTTCCTCAAAAATCTTTTCATACTTTTCGTTAAACAATCAAAAAATTCATCTATTAACCTTTACATACACAAAGTAAACTTAAAGAACTTTTTAAAGAACTCTTAAAGAATTAAAGAACTAAAGAACTTTAAGAATTAAAGAACTTTAAGAATTAAAGAATTAAAGAACTAAAGAACTTTAAGAATTAAAGAACTTAAAGAATTACAGAACTAAAGAATTAAAGAATTAAAGACCTAAAGAATTAAAGAATTAAAGAATTACAGAACTAAAGACCTAAAGAACTAAAGACCTAAAGGATTAAATAATTAAAGAACTAAAGAATTTAAATAAAGATTTCCTTTAAATCAAAGTGTTCTTTTACTCAATTTTCATCTTTTTTAAGTCAATTTTGGCTCACTTATGAGCAAATTCAAGGAGAAAAAAAAACCGAGGTTTTTCATAAAAATTGAGAAAAAAATTGGACAAAGAATCAGCTCGATCTGTGTACCAGCTTTGGAATACCAATAATCAAGCTCATTGTTGGCTTTGTTCATCATTAGATCTTTACCGAAAAGTAAACTTTTCAGCTCTACTATATCTGCTACTAGATCAGCCCATTGATAGCATAAACATAGTCGGTTAGTAGTATCAAAGTAGATGTGCATAGTAGTGCATAGTGCATAGTGCATAGTGCATCGTAGATGCCCTATCTTCATCTCAGCTTAGTAGATAATCAGGCTTATTAGCTTCATTCCCATACAGTCTGCTCGACGTCTAGTGTCAGCCACAATTTTAAGTCTACTAGCTAACTAGCACTTGCAAGTCTGCTAGCTATCTAGCAGTCATTCTCTTGTAAATCATAGATTAGATTGTTAATGAGCAAAAAGGTTTCTTGAAAAAAAATCGATATAAATTTATAAATTGGTAGAATAAAGAAAGAAAATTGCTAGAATCAAAAGAAATTTCCAAAAGAAATTATTGGAATTTCCTTCTTTGCATTGTTTCAAATCTTTGCATTCTTTCAAATGCTTCGATCACGATCGTTCAATTTCCTGGAAGAAAAAATGGAAAAAAAAGGTTTAGAAAAACAATTCTACGAATTTCCGCTTTAAAAAACGCTTCCAGAACTAGAAAAAAGTTGATATTTTGGGATATTTCTTTGATTTTTTCGGGTTTCACAGATTTATATAAATACTTTTTTTAGAAAGAAATAAAGTGCGAAAACGACATGAAAAATGTAGGAGATAAAAGATGATAAAGTGACTTAAAATGCGA